TATATGTTCTGGAGTCCTGCTGCTCACCTGGCTCTGCTTCCCCTCTGACAGCCCAACCTCTCTGACCTCTCATACTCTTCTTCCTCTCTATCATATTATCACTGTTTTCTGCATACTGTTTCCTTTTCCTCCCTCCTATGACCTTTTGTGTTTTGCTACGCACGCAATATTAAAAAGAAAACTTGATGTAGTAACAGCTGCATTAAATCCCAATGTGTTTATAAAGATTTTAAGCAGCTTGGTCCGGACACCTGCCGTTTGGCAAAGGTTCAGCTTTCACCTCCAAACTGTGGAGTGTCCTAGCCGTGACTTTGTCCTCACAGCCAGGATCTCTGGACCCGGCGCCTGGTCTACTACCCAGCGAGAGAACTGATAAGCATGTGTGAAGAAATGAAAGGACTGTGTGTATAGTAACGTTTCCATCCTTGTGAGAGCAGAAGAGGACGCAGGAAGGGGTCGTAGTAAAGAACAAACTGCACACTAAGTAAGTGTAGGTAGGGCGCTGTTGGAGGCACTGAAATGGAGCGGTGGAGATGTGATGAGGGCCAGAGCATGGTTACTAAGCCTTAGTTCATTTGTATTAACAGTATTACAATTAGGCTGATATTTTAACCAAACAATCATGATTTATTGGGAGAAACCAAGATATCTCATGTACCATCAGAAATTCACCCAGTCTACTGCCGTTGGTCTGTTCCTGGTTTTAAAAACTGCCTTACAGGAAAGTGATTGTATATTCAATTATTTGTGTTGTGTCATTATTCCACACATTATCTTGTCTTCTCATTTTGCTGTAACTCCATCATATACAATGTTGTTGTTTGTTTTTAATCTGTAAAGCCCACTGAGACAAACGTGTTTTGTGATATTAGGCTATACAAATAAAGTTTGATTTGATTCTCATTACTGATGATTATTGATCTAAAACGCTATTATAATATTATGACTCAATTTTGAAGTGCTTATTTGACCCCTAAGCATTGTCTGTGCTCTTCACTTAAGAGTGTATACAGCATGCCGAAACAACCAAGAGCCAGAAGAGGCAAAACTCTGGGCAACTTTTTTTTAAGCCACCTCACATTGTCAACATGACTATACGTTTCCATCCTAGTGAGAGCACAAGAGGATACAGGAAGTACAAATAATCGTACACAAAAAGGTTCTTCAACAAACTAAAATGTAAATAAAAATGCTTCGTAAATCAAATGAAACTGTAAGAATCAAAACTCTGAATGCTATATAATAATATAACTTAATTTTATGAACACAAAGTTATGCAGAAGGTGTAGCATCGCTTACTTTAGCGCAACACACTGTCTGCCATGTCTCCACTCAGACTACATCATGCCCAAGTTTTTGGTTTGGTTTACCTGCTATTGTCATTATTTAGAATCTAATAGTGAACCAACTTCTATGTCGCATATGAAAGTAGGTGTGTCACAGAGTATCCATGTTGACTAATGCGTGGAAACACTGGATGTGTGTGTGCTGTGTAAGCTGGTGGTGCATCAATAAGTGCCAGAAGATCAGAGTCCCTGATGGCAGAAATACTGTACCATGACACATCAGAAATGTACTACAATAAAATTATACAATCAGAGATTTGCATATTTCTGTGTGTGTGTGTGTGTGTGTGTGTGTGTGTGTGTGTGTGTGTGTGTGTGTGTGTGTGTGTGTGTGTGTGTGTGTGTGTGTGTGTGTGTGGTGTGTGTGTGTGTGTGTGTTAGAGAGACAAAACTAGTAAATACCAAACAGAGAGGAGCAGTTCACCGTCTGCGTGTCATCATACAGAGAAAGATGCAGTGAGACGTGAGAGCGATTTCATATTTCGAGGTAGTTTTCAGTGAAATGTGTCTGACTTCTCAGCGGTGGGGGGGGGGGGGGGGGGGGGTTTGCTGCTGCAATCTGCCTCCGTTTCTCAATGAGATCGGATTACTCTTTCCTGCTGCTACTAAGTAAGCTATACGAGGGCCCAATGGTTCCTTCTGGATGAGTTCAAATGGACGTTTGTTCCAAATGTAAAGACCTATCTCAAAGCGTTCTTGAGTTATCACATTCAATGAGAATAGGGCAAACAAAACTGTCAAGAAATCAGAACCCTACCTTCATCTAGCACTGGCAGATATCCAGCACCCCTTGTTTCAAAGAATCTTAGTACATTAGGCAGCGCTATGATAACAAACTACATAAAATAATGCCTTGTGGGAACGGAGAGCTCGACCAACTTCTACAGCTTTGTCTTTTAGATGAAACTTCAGATGACTCACGCTCTTTAGTTCTCTCGCCGACTTCTACGTCTGCAATCCTGCCTCTATCTGCATATTGTGTCAATGAACAGTACATGTCAACCTGTCGCTGATCATCACCGTCACCACGTCCTTATCTGTCTGCACTGATCAGATGATAGATGGTGTGTGTGTGTGTATATGCTTACGCTTGTGACCCTTATGTGCCCCTTTGCAGTAGGAAGAGGTTTGTGTGATTGTAGGGTAGCAAGGACATGTTTATGATGTTGAGTGTGTTTATGTGTGTGTGTGAGTGTGTTTTTGTGTGTGTGTGAGTGTGTTTCTGTGTGGTGTGTGTGTGGGTGTGTGCATGTGTGTGTGTGTGTACGTGTGTGTGTGTGTGTGTGTGTGTGTGTGTGTGTGTGTGTGTGTGTGTGTGTGTGTGTGTGTGTGTGTGTGTGTGTGTGTGTGTGTGTGTGTGTGCGTGTGTGTGTGTGTGTGTGTGTGTGTGTGTGTGTGTGTGTGTGTGTGTGTGTGTGTGTGTGTGTGTGTGTGTGTGTGTGTGTATAGTGAGAGAAAGGCCCAAGGGCGAGCTAGAGGGCTGGACCTGTCGCTTCAAACTAATGTCCAGGTTACTGTCAATCATCGCCCACACATGCTAAGTATTGTGTGTTTTTTTTAACATTTAAACCATTTTGAATTACCACTCTGCAATTTGGAATCTATACATTATTTTCTATTGCACTTCCGAGTGTGTTGTGTCATCACCAGCAGTGAATTCATGCCAACCTTGCACCTTTTTTCCACATTGGATTACTATAAACTGAAAGGCAGGCTGTCAATAAGTGTCGGCTTTTTAGGGGCTGAGCTTCAGGCCGGTGACAGACAGCGGACAGCAGAGTTTTAACAATGATCCCAACGCTGCCTTTGTTCAATACAGGAATTCCCCAACGTCATAAAGGATTATAAAACAGATTATTTACTCAGTTAGAAGCTAACAGCATGGAACAATGCACATGGGTGTCCCTGACTGAGGATGTAAATAGTTGAATCAGCGTTTCCGTTGTTGCCGGTTAACATGAAGGGGATGATCTTGTTGTTAGTTTCACCAATAAGAGAGTGCTGACTCATCTATTCTGCCTATTTTTAACACACTCCAATTATTTTCACAGTACATTATGACCGGAGAGATTGAAATTTGACGGCCTTCAACTGACTTTTCTTCTGTTCAAAGTCCAGTAAATACCAGATAATGAAAACATTGAGTCGATCTGATTGGTCAAGCCTCACCTATTGAGCCTCACCTATTCCATGTTCATGGTACTCAAATAGAGCAAAGAAAATCGACCGACAGACAGACAGACAGACAGAATCCGTTTTTTTGGGGCACTTGCTTATAGTTTCAAAAGAAATGTTTGGCCCCGATTCCATTATCCTCAATTTTGGTAATCAACAGTCAGAAGGAAACAGACGGGATGCAGTCAACAAGAGAGTGCACAAAGCAAACAGATGTTTCTTTGCGCCGTACCCTGAAGATTTTACCAGGGAATTGTTCAGAAATGTAGTCATCTTGTCTGTGCAAAAACACTTCAAATATAAAAGTATATACACAATTTTGTCAACATGGTGATTTATTTACACATACTAAGAGAATGAACTGAAAGCACAGTTATTTATTTTCAAATTTGTATTAACAGCATTATTAATATGTTGATAAGGATATACAAATAGGCTATATATCATGATTTATTGGGAAAAGGCAAGTCATTTGATGTAAATCAGACACTATAACCACGTCATCCAACATGTGTCTGCATAATATTGAATCTACTTGACAAGTCGTGCAAAACAAATCTCCCCGATTTCCTGAATTTGTGTTGAAGCGTTGTTCATGTTTATTTTCTCGCTCGAGAACTAATTTTCCTGATTATTCTCACCCTGCATGAATGTAGCAACAATCACAATATTTACACCATGGCTGTCTCATGGCTCTAATACAATATTGAGGAAGTCTTAAATCAGCACTCAAACCAGATTAATGAGTCAACATGGGCGGTGGGAGTCAGAAAAAAGATCATTATCCTAATTGGTGCAGCTCTCCCTTCACCACTTTCTCACTCAGTGTGAACATTAGTATGGGGACACATGTGTACTACTCCTGACTCAGGTTTGTTTATGATGTACAGTATTTGGCCCGACTTACATTAAACGTACATTAAACCTGTGCTCTGTATTCAACGTGTTATCTTCACAATAGGTCAAAACACCTATAACTATTCAACTGTGTACATGTGGTTGTGTGTAGTCGGTTTGAGTATGTGTGTGTGTGTGTGTGTGTGTGTGTGTGTGTGTGTGTGTGTGTGTGTGTGTGTGTGTGTGTGTGCATGTGTGTGTGTGTGGCCTAGCATTACTGTACTTGTGGGGACCTACAGTAAATCTGTTTACACAGTCACGTGTGGGGACTCGCCTCCCTTATGGGGACATAAATAATGGAGGTCCCCATAAGGGTAATCATTAATTTTACTTGGTTAGGGTTAGGGTAAGGTTAAGGGTTAGGGTTAGGCATGTGTTGGTTATGGTTAAGGTTAGGAGTAGTCTCCAGGAAATGCATGTAAGTCAATGTAATGTCCCCTGAAGTGATGTATACATGCCATGGTATGTGTATGTGTGTGTGTGTGTGTGTGTGTGTGTGTGTGTGTGTGTGTGTGTGTGTGTGTGTGTGTGTGTGTGTGTGTGTGTGTGTGTGTGTGTGTGTGTGTGTGTAATCCTACTCACCCACGGCCTTGAGCGAGGTGTACTTGTTGAAGCCGATGCCCAGGTTGTTGTGAGGGTGAGACAAGGCCATGGCGGGACCCAGGGGAGACAAGGCTGCGTTGTTCAAGTGGTTATGATCTGAGAAAGAGACAGAACATTAAACATTTTAATTGTTGTTCACATAAAATATCCATTTCCGTAAATCTCAGCCAGAGGAAATGTGAGAGACTGAGAAAATTGTCAAGACGGGGAAACAATATTTCACAATTTAAAGTCTGAAGGCTTTAAGGAGTCCTTAAAACTAAATGTATCCAGAGAGACATACGTTTCTCTTTCTGCAGAATGGGTGCAATGATAAGCTGAGGCTGCAGAACCATTTGCGCATACCTCGTTACATAATGTTTCTGCTTAAATTAATAAATATATTCATAAAGCCTTCAGATGTGCAAATTTCCCAGGACAGAGACGTTTTAAATGCCAACCGCTAGAATTCACACACGGAAAGTCGACATACTACATAAACTGCACTGTAACATTTATCCATGTATTTTTTCTTTTAATGTTTATTTTATTATCTTTTCTTTTTAATGACTGATTTTAAATGCCATTTTCTTAATGTCTTTCGTTTTTTGTAAAGCACTTTGAATTGCCTTGTGTTGAAAGGTGCGAAATAAATAAACTTGCCTTGCCTTGCCTAATATTTGGATGCTTTGGTGCACTATGGCTCAGGATTTGATCATCTGTTAATAACCTGCATTCTAGCAATTTTGCTATAGATCATGTGATCCCATGTGTATGGAGGGAGCTTTGGGATTTTAGCCTAGAAGATACATGCACACAAACCTAAACAACACTACAGGAAAGTGATCACCCCAACATTAATAATAGGGCCTCTTAAAAAAGGTTTGACCCATTGAAGTAGCACTAAAATCGGTGTGGCTTATTGGAAGCTAATGGACTTACAGGATCCCTGCTATTTTAATCCTGTATCTTCATGGTTGATTGCACTTAATGTAAGTAGCTTTGGATAAAAGCATCCGCTAAATGAAATGAGATGTCATAATAATGTAATGTACTTGCTAAAAATTCAAATTAAAAAGTATGTCATTTGGAATGCAGCCACACATACATACACACACACGAAGGCTGAGCAGTGGGAACGAGGCGGCGGGGAAACGCAGAGCGAGCGATGTGACACCAGCGCTGACTGATTGAATTAGAAATAGATCTTCACTTCTCCGTGTAATTGATATGCGGCGATGACACGCTGTGTGCGGCGTGGAGGGCAGGGACTGTGTGTGTGTAATTTTACGTTTGTGTTGCCGTGTGAAATGTGGCTTGTTATTGTCTAATGTGAACCGCCAGTACCACCTGCTATCTTCACTTTCTCATCCACCAACACTTTAAAAATAGAAATGTAAAGGTGCCTCAAGTAAATAAACACATGAAAGAATAGTTTGTCTTCTTTTGAGGGATAAATATCAACATTTAAAAGAAGGGCTTTTACTCTTTAGGTGACCTATATTAATGCTCTCAAGAGTTCTTCTAGCCAGCCAACAACAGTGGAAATAATGAGACGAACAGAGAGAGCAAGGCAGAGAAAGAGAGATGGAGTAAAGAGCAGAAAGACAGTGAAGGGAGAGATAGACAGGGAAAAAAGAAGGAAAGAAAAATCAAGTAATTGATGGAAAGGTCCTTGGCCGGTCTCCAGTTTGACCACAGGGCTGTTCCTAGCCACCAGAGAGAGAGACAGAGATAAGCGTGTTTTGACAATATAGTGCTAAATAAGATGACCCTTTATTAATCTCCACGGGGAAATTCAGTTTTACAATCTGTTATCGTACATGCATAGCTTTACCGAATAGTTCAAATACAGATATGCACAAACACATGCATTTTCACACATTCAATCATATTTATTTTACTTAAACCGATATTCATGCACTTTTAACTTTATCTGAATATTGAAGTATGAATGTGTGTTGGTACTCATCTCATTGTACCTGTATAATGACAATAAAGGATTCTATTATATTCATTTATAATTGACAAGGTTGTCCGAGCAGTTGTTGCTAAAGGACATTTGACCAGGAGTTGAACTGGCACCTCTCCAGCTACCAGTCCATGCTCCGTATATTTGGTCTAATCTGGATTTGAACCGATGACCCTTCAGTTCCCTAGCCAAGTCCCTACAGACTGAGCGACTGCCACATCCCACACGTCAGTCATTGAGACACGGTATGGGATCAGGAATGTGCAACAAAAGGTCCACGTTATCTGTTAGGATTGAAACAAGATAGAAACTGCTGAATGTCTCAAACTATTTCCCATTTCATGTATTTTTATCCAGGGCCAATAACTTCTGCAAAAAGTTTTGTGAACATGACAATTGAAAAGGGCATTTCTGCATTAAAGATGCAGGAGAGTAGAAGAGTTCAGAGTGAACCTGGTGTGCCCATCAGCTGACACTAAAAATGTTTCTTACTTTAAAAATCACACATAGAAATGCCTTTTTACATAACTGTCACTGTAGGAGTGTTTTTAATGAATTGGTTAAACTCCTACAGTATTCGTAATTAAAATTAGGGAATGATAATCTCTTACGGAGGGAGCAGATTGAAAGCGAATACATTTCCCCTGTATTCTGTATTCGTGAATAAATTCTCTCTGAATGTCCTACATTTTCCCCGTGCTGGTGTGTATGAGTGTTCATGAGTGTGTGTGCATTCTTTGATGTACTATAGTATGGAGGCCTCGGAGGAGAAACACTCATAAGAATTCAAATGTATGTTTATTAAAGAGAAGTGGAGAAGGAAATGAGGACTTAGGGTAGATGAATGTGACTCTCAATGAGCGTGAGAGGGAGACTGTGTGAGGGGGGGAGTGTTCAGACGTGTTTTAGTGCAGAGTTTTGAGACCTGCATGTGTGCGCTCACGACTTCTGTGTGATTTGCAGCATGCATTTGTTTTTGTTTGCAAGTGCACTGTGTGTGTGAGGCTGTGTGTGTGCAGGCAGGCAGCAGAGCACCACTGGGTGATGGCCTAATTCAGCAGGGCTCAACATCAAAGAGGCAGACTGCTGCAAGGGCTTCAGCCAGCCTTACTCTGACATGACTACTGTCACACACACACACACACACCACACACACACACACACACACACACACACACACACACACACACACACACACACACACACACACACAGAGCGAGATGGTTGGAAAGAGGAGAGGGGAATAGATGGAGGGAGATGGAGACTCCTGCGTTGTTTAATGCATTGTACACAAAACTAGCAGGGAGTTTGAGTCCTGTTAGCCACGCAGGCTAAGATGAGTGCACTTATGGAACTGTAGGGCACACTGGATGAACAGCCAAGTGGCGTATATGTCACATCATTTCATGTAAGTATGTGAGGAAAGGAGAGGAGAGGGAGAAAACAAGAAGAGGTTAGAGGAGGCCAGGAAGGAGAAGACAACTTATACAACAATGTCTTTTAATTAAGGAGATATCATTTGGATTTTCTTCAACCGATAACGTTACCTGCTGCTCACAGCCGATACGGATAAGACTAATTATGTTGCATTTAAAAAAAGAAGCAGATCATAACCTGGTGTTCATGTAAAAAGAGGAAGAAAGGCTGAAATGGAAACACATGATATCACTGTTGTCTAATTCTAAAACTGTAAAAAGGTAGTAAAGTACATCAAAACACTTCTGGGCTATGAGCAACATTCATCCCTTACCTAGCTTTGCATATTTAAGCATTTTTCCGAATGATTCAAATGAAATGATTTGACATAATCAGTCCAAGGAGATAATTTAATACTTAATACTGAAGCAGAACCTGAAGCGACCCGCTGCTTAGTCTGCAGATGAAACATTTGTAGATGTATACTAACAATGTGTTTGTATTAAAATAGGTTTTAAAGCAACACATTGTTAACTAGAAATTGTTTAATAGAGTACAAAGTCCCTAACGTCTTAATTGTGCTCTCAAAGTGCACTAATGTATCAAATGTTCTCCCAGGGGATCATTACCTCAGAGCCCCCCGGGGGGTCCAATGTCCACTCACCATGGTCTCTCAAAATCGCATAGGAAATACTGATACCTAATAATATTAATTTCCCACGATAGGCCCCAGTAAATATACCATGCTTCCCTACAGAGAGGACGTGTTGCTAAAGTACTGCACCAGCTGTTTGGGTGACTGGACTACATGTTGGCCAATGTGCACGTTCAATTATTAGAGCAGAAGCTACAAATCATACATGTGTCTTCTTTACTCATCGCATGCAACCAGTATTATTTCACGACTACGAACACTTTAACTGTTGCACATCTGAATGATTTAGCTATTCTATTTGAGCTCATTCACTGTTTCTGCCACTTTCATGACTGTACGCTAAATATGAAGAAGCTACAGGTAGCCGCTAGTTAGCTTAGCTACAGGAATGAAGGTGGACCAGCTATTCTGGTTTAATAAACAAGCTACTTCTCTGAGTGTCTCATTTTTTCAACTAATTAAAGCATTAATTAATAAAAATTCAAAATAAATCGGATTTGGATTGATTTAGATCATCCAAATACTATCTGCATATTCCTGATTAGCTTAGCATAGCTGGCTTAGCATAGCTGGCTCTGTTTAAAGGTAACACAATCAACAAGTGTAAAAAATGACATTATATAATGTATAAAGAGAGTAATGTGCTGAAGTATTTATTGTTCCAACAGACAGAACAGTTTTTATACTCAATTATAATTAGCTTTAAGATTTAGTTAATTATGTAGTGCAGTAACGTTTGTTGTCTTCTCAGATACTAACCCATGTCAAAATACCAAACTAATACTTTAAATAACACGATTGACTCTGCATTGATTGCACCTTTAAAATAACTCCACTATCGTTCCATATTATTTAAAGGAAAATATGTCTGTTGTTTTAGGCTATGGGCTGCATGAAACAACAGCAAATAAAGATTTCCTTCAAATATTGAGGAGCTGCGCCAGATGTATTTCAATTTCTCCGCCAGCCTTACAGCGTGTGATTTTATCAAGCTAATGGAAATGATCATAATTAAACTGAGTGTGCTGCTGCTGCTGCTGAAAGAGGTAGATATAACCTTAACCTGGAACATGT